AAATATTTCTCATGTTAGTATTTTAATTTTTTTCTTTTATTGGATCGGAGAAAAAGCAATATTTTTACCTTTTCTCTTATCAAATAATCGATCTTTTAATTCATCTGAAATTCACACACTTAATATTTGATCTTATCAGTTCAATAATATCATACACCAATTTTATCATATATCATTCACGTCAATGCAACGTCATAATTTGAATTTAACATTCTATACGCGATTTTCTATCATCAACGAATTTATTTAACACAACCTTAACCTCTAATTTTTTTTTACAGTATTGATGTGTTTTATTTAGGAAAATTATGAAATTATGAAAATTCCATATAGTCAAGAAATACATTTTCACCTCAAAATAATACAAAATACTGATACTAAATCATATGAACCATTTATTAAAATATAAAATTGAGTTGATTAAAATCGATGATAACTGCGCCATTTAACATACCCGACAAGAAAGAATAATCAAACCATATGAGAAAAAAAATATAATATTCAAATAAATTGACGGAGTAAATTAATTTTATTGTCGTTTGATGAATGACAAACAAATTCATACGGCAGTTAATCAATTATATGGCAAAAAATATTTCATAAATTAATCTGATATTTGTAGAAATATGTGGAATGCACAGAAATCAATATGAAAAATTGCCTACGATGTGTGTTAGCTTGTTCATCAACAGATTCGTACAGCGAACAGAAGAAAGCTTATTTCTCTAAGTTATGCACAAATCAATCCAGATAATGATGGTTCGAGGTCAGAGTTATTTCGAGGTGACGACGAAAGCTTAATTGCCATTTCAAATACGTCAATTTTACTCATTGCTAACCACAAAATCCTAATATTTTATTTTACGATGAATGAATACAAACGATAGGAATATATTAGATAGCATTGAATGATCACAATAATTATATTCCTGTCGTTGTCTTCATCCATTTATCATTTTAGAGATTGTACTCGATTGGAAGGTTCTTACGACGAACCATACCATCACCTTGGAACCATTCACGACGGAATTGTTTAGCGGCACCATCCGGTGTGTTAGTCCATTCGATGGTGATACGATCGTTGTTGATGTCCTCTCTTGTTGCGTCAAACGTATCACATGAAACCGCCATGAGGACATTTTCCTTGGGGTCCAGGACACCACACGGTGGATCTACACCTAAACGGCGCATATTGGTAGTTTTGATCGCCCAACCAATACGACGACCACCAGCATTGGTAATCTGAAAAGTTTCTTACAGCAAATGACCCTTCGCTTATATCTATAGTGATTCTGGTTTATGGTACCGCCGTATTCCGAGTTATGGTACCATGCTTTTTAATAAACTATCACATCCTTGATCCTATCAACCATTATGTGATAATCCAGCAATAAAGAGATACCTTAATGTGGTAGGTATGTTTGTCGTCGTATGGGGCGTTGAAGACAATTTTTGAACTCGGTTGAGTGTGGATGTCACCCGGTGGAACCGATTGCGCCATT